AGCGTGTCGCCCGGCTTTCCTATCACGCAAGTTGGATCGAGCGTGCGATTCCTAAGGACTTCCCGATAAAGGACAAGGGCGGAATTCGATACCGTAATCCCGACGAAATCACGGCGGATTGCGAGTGAAACATCAGTTGTGCCTCGAGTTTCTCTTCCTTTCTTTTTTCTCTCTTTCTCTCTCTCTTTCTAATTATTCATTTTTTCTACTTTTGATATCAACATTATATTTATCTCTCTCTCTCTCTTTCTCATACTATTTTTGTTGTTGTTTTATTTTATTCTTTGTTTTTATTTTGATAACTTAAACTTACGTTATTGTAGAATTTATGCGTATTGTATATTTTTAGTGCGCCTGAGGGAATGTATCCCAGGGCGCTTGAATAAATTACGCTTTCTCTCTCTCTTTCTCTTCTTCTTCTTCTTCTCTCTCTCTCTCTCTCTCTCTCGAATCGCGAGTTTATAATACATTTCTTGTTATATACTTCTCATTCTATACGCGCGCAAGAGGCTTAACGCAATAGAAACGTAGTGAATTTTGCAATTTGTGTTTCTAATGTTGCGACATGGGAGCGGCCGTGGCGTGCATCGGGATTAGAGCATATGTAAGCGACGGCGGGGGAGAGATGTCTCCGTGTGTATTATCACTGTACATAATTGCTCGTGCAAGCGCAAGTTAGCGGTACACGCGTCTCATCCCGGCGTGGCGCGGGACCGCGACATACCAACTTGAATAGCCCGGCGCTTTATAGATGTCCGTTAATAAACCGCATTATGCCGCCGCGCGCTTAATTGATTAATGAGAAATTACGAGAGACGGGTCTCGCGTATGCCGGGGACCCGTGCAAGGGTACGGCGCCGTCGGGCGTTCCCTCCGGGAAACGGCTCGGTTTAGAGCGCGGCTTGAAAAACGAGCAAGGTCGCGTTAATTAAATCCACTGTAATTCCCCGCGTGTTTGCGAAGTTTCTCACATATACATTTTCTTCTTCGACGTGTTTCTTTTTTTTTAGCTCGAGAGCAATATTTCGAACATGAAACTGTCTTTCCGACGAACGTACGCGATATGTCGGCCGCGTGTTCGCGATCGCGGTTAAAATTTTTGTTTAATTGTTACGAGAATGGAAATAAAATGCACACGAATGTGTATAATTAAGCTCTTGTAATATCGCTCGCCAGATTTTTTTTCTTAACGAGAGCATCGCGGAACGAGAGAGAAGTGTTTTTTTTTTTTTTTTTTTTTTTCGATTACGTTCGAGGATCGCATCCTCGGCAATGAGTCTTCGCATTCCACGAAGATTAACGGCGGCGCGCGAGAGATCGAATCCCGGCAGTATTGGCAAACAGTTTCCAATTATTAAGCGCAGCATCTCTCCCGCTTCTCGTAACTCGTATGGGAGAACCAATGGTCTAGTCGATGTTCGACCGGGAGTACTAACTTCCGGTATTTTTGCGCGCGAGTGCGCGCGCGCGCACGTACCTGCCTATAGTCTTCCACGCCCTTTAATTATCTGCAGCTTGACGCCGAGTAGTTATAGCGGATAGTAACGTTGTCATTATGACTGTGAAGACCGATCGAGACTACCGTGTGCCTTCTTCTTCACCTTCTCTTCTTTTTCCTCTCTTTCTTTTCTTCTTTATATCGCGACGGGCTCTTCGCGCGCAGGTTTCTTCACCTCTCACAAAGGTCGCGTTTCGAACGCCTGCGAAAAGAGTCATTGTCCAGCACAGCGCCCGGTTCAAGATCCGCTTCGGTGTTCCGCGAAACACACGTGTCATTTGTTTTTTTTTTAAATCGCGAACACAGTGCGAGCGCGTGTAAATATTATATATGCATATCCGCGCCGAAAATTTATTCTCCACGCGATTCGAAAAGAATTAAAATTTCCATCACTTTCTCTCGTCGAGCGATAGATCCCTGTGCGATGGATAGATAACTATATGTCGCGCGCGAAATCCTCACCTATATAAGCCCATTACTCTATCCAGCGGCAATAAAACCGTCGCTTCGCTAAGATCCTAGCACCGTAAAGTGGCATTAAGTACCGGTTTTAAGTAAGCTCGTCGAGATCCTCGACAAGAAGCCTACTCGTACGAGTTCACCGGATCCTTTGTTCGCGAGACTGGATGCTGGGCGAATCGCGCCGCGACTTTACGAGCCGGGGCCTCCGACGATCCCTACCGCCTGCCGACCGCTTCTCGCCGTTTGATTCTATCGTAACTAAGTGCCGCGGTAATAATGTCACCCGCCGTAGAAAGCGCAGCGGCGAGGCGTCATCGTTGGAACAATGACGACAGGTGGGCGCGTCGCGGCGGGGCGGGACGCGATCTTTTCTCATCGAAGGATCGACAGAGATAGATAGAGAGAGACAGAAATATATATTATATACGTGGGCGTCCCGGTGTCCTAATAACTTTAATGCGCTCCCGCCAACGTGATTTAGAGACGCATCGCCGTTGGCCGCCGCCGATTTGCACAAAGGATCTCGGGATCACGGTGCACTGACCGTCCTTTCGAGAGGAAAGAGAGGCTCGGCGGCGGCGGCGGCGGCGGCGGCGGCGGCGGCGGCGTCGTCCGCGCGCGCCCTTGAAATTCCTCCCGCGAATACCTGCGGCTGCAGCTTTTGGCCGTATGCGCGGAGCATAAAGTAAGATAAAGCTCTATAAAACGGATGTAATTTTTTCTCTCCTTCTCCATACGAGACGACAGCGGATTTCACGCGTGTGCGCCCGTAATTCCCTCCCGCGGATCGCGACTCTCGCGTGAATTTTTTTAAGCGCTTTTTATATTACACGGAGCGTTTTAATGCGCGACCAGTTGAGAGAGAGAGAGAAAGAATCTGTGTCTCTCTGTTTCTCTCTCCTTTATTTCCCTCGGGTCTTTAACCGAGCCGGGACCGTCATCCCCCTCTGTCTCGCTCCGAGGTGTGTTGCCCGATCGGTCAGGACCTGCTTCGTACCAACACGAAACCGTCACCTATTCCGATCGCGCCTTGACAAGGGGTCTCGATTTTCTAAGAATCTCGTCTATCTTTTATTTATTGTTAGCTTCTCACAACTCCTGGTAAAATCCGCACACATTTCGAAACACGGTGACGGAAAATAAAATAGAAAGCAGAACGAACTCTCTTTATTAGAACGATATCCCTTTTCGACGACGGTCATTTGATCTCTTTCGTTTTTCCTGGAATGTTCGTGAACCCACTCTGTGTTCTCCGCACAGTTGCGTTCTCTTTCACATCTCGCGCATCTCTCGTGTGGTCCCGTTTTCGTGGGACATACAAAGAACAAAGTTCGCGTTCCACCCACCACCGACGCGCGCAAGTTTCGAAGTCTCGAGTTTCAGACGCGGTTCTTTCTCAAAAAAAGAGCAACAGATATATACACGGACGTCTGGTCTCCTAGATATTGTATATGCAAATTTGTCGTGCCTCCTAGCCTGGCACCAGACTCCCTACCTCAGATCTCGGGGAATATGAATCATGCTCGCGATGAGAGGCCGCTGCCTCGTAACAGGAAATCCGTCCCCATGTACGCGCGCGATCATGCAGATTCAGACAAAGCACGATGCGTTCTCCCCTTTATCCCGCCCTTCGGCGCCTTTTTCATCGATCGGTGGCCGCATCCTACGCGCGCACGAAGAAAGGTTTTTCGCCAAGCGTCAGATAACTCTATAAGGTTGCCCGCGAAAGGAAAAAAACATTTTCATTGTTGTAATATAATAAAATAAAAATAGCGAGATTATCGCAATATATTTAATATCCATTGTAGCAATAATTTTTTTATATTAAAAAATATATGAGAGAGAGAGAGAGAAATTATTTATTTTCTCTTTTAATATCATTGGAAACTGGCGAAGGTCTCAATCCGTGGTATTTCTCGGTAATCCACGAGCTAAGAAAACATCTCCGCGCTAAAAGACCGATAAAAACGAAAATGAAACAGAGAGATAACAATAAACGGAACGAACAAGTTCACATTTTTCCCATCTCGACGCGGTGACACTTTGCGACACTGACGTCATTCTTTCGGCGATGACCATATCGAGAGAGCATACCGAGGAGTCTTAAACTCGCGTTTTACTTTCACTTCAAGTACCAATTCAGGGGGGAACTCGTCCGCGAGACACTTCCATGTGTCGAGAGGGTTAACGCGCGCGCGGGTGGATCTCTCACTCGGGCAATCGATATATTTATCCTTGAACAGCGACTGAGTGTGCTTGTGTCTCTCCCTGTGAAAGAAAACGCCCGGGTTTTTATATTATAAAAGGTGTAATCACGAGCAATTTTTCTCGCAAGATTTATCTTTCCTCGTGCGCTGACACATATCTAGAAGGCTTAACAGCCGATTTACCTCCTAAATCCTTTCCTATTTCTTCTTCCTCTCTCGTGAGACATGCAGCTCGCGTCCCTCTTAGCGCCGAGTTTAAAGCTCCCGATGATAGAGCGTACCAGTCGCAAATTTGCATCCACGGCGATCGGCGACGGATGGCACATAAAACAAACAAAGCAGTTCGCGGTATAGAGACGCAACCGAATGAACCGCCGTTTATCAGCACGTAACGAAGATAGTCACGCGACCTCACGGTTCGCGGATAATGACCGGTGCGGCGGAGGCCGCATAACTGCCCTCGTCGATATAATGCGATGCCGCGGCGATGTTTTCCATTTTCTTCGAGTCACCTCGCTTAGCGACGACGCGGAAAAATTTCGCAGGTGCAATCGGGTATAAAAACGCGGAAATTAAAGTGGCAACGTACAAGGACATGCGTGCGTGATTGGCGCAGTCTTCCCGTTCTCTTTTGTTTGCGAGAAAAATGCCTTTGAAACCGATTGATTGACTTTGTTTTTCAACACGTGTATTTTTTTTTGGTTCTTTGCACATTGACGGATCATTGCATGTAATTTTCTCACAAACGGGACTACTCTAAAATATTGAATAATTTTTTAGAGTATTCTGTTTGTTTTGTATGCAACCTTTTCTTTTTTCGCGAAATCTTAAAGACGCACAGATAATTCACAAGAGAGAAACAATATGGACGATGTTCAATAGATGAATTTGTATTACATATAAATCGAGAACTGTTTTATCTGAGTGTGCATATCAAAATACGATATCAGCACAGTTTCCAGCATCGACGGTGAAAAGCACTCACGTGTAATGATTGAATACGACGTTGAGAAGAAAAATATCGACAGAAAAAACTTATTCTCTCCGCATCTTCTTCGTATCAAACCACGTGAAAAGAACAGTTCTGTTTTTTTTTTTTGAGGAACACGCGAAGTTGATCGCAAGATAAAAGAAGCATACATCTTCTACACTTCGGCGCCCCAGATGGGGCTTTCGGTTCGCCTTGCGAAATCCGGAGAAACCGAAAGAGTGTCGCTCTAGTGAACTCGTCATCGAGAATATTATTCAGTCGAACGAACGACAAGATAAGAACTTCGAGTCCAGCGGGAGAAAAAAAAGAGAGAGAAGAGAGAAAGATTGAGAGATCTAGAGATCTCTCGGCGCGTTTCTGTGAAGATGGACGCCCTGGAGCTGCAAGCTGCCTTGGTAAAGCTTGATCCGGCCACCACGGTCACGCCGATCGGTACGACTGTGAAGTTGGTGCCTCATCACCGGGTCGCCTTCACCGTGAACATTGACGACGAGAGCGACATAAATCTAGAAGATTCGACTCGAGACGACGAGAAGTCGTTGGCCGAGACCGCGTCGAGGAAAACGCCGGGCAACTGCGCCGGAGGCCTGACGGCGAACCATCAGAATCATCATCAGAGCGGCGGTCAGCAGATAAGCGTCTCCAAGTGCGGCATCATTGAAGTTAGGTGACGCCAACCGCCCTGCCACGGCGTCAATATGATTTACCACACTTACCCGCCGCACCGGGGCAACAAACATCATGCCAAGCACCACGTCAAGGAGAAGAGACACCATCATCATCACACTATGCACCATCAGCATCACAGAGCTCATGTGGTAAGTTAACGCGCGCGAACAAAGAGACGGCGCGAATAACGAGAGATGACGTTTTCGTTGTCGTCGCCTTACATTGGAGAGAAAAGAAAAAGCAAAACGAAATGGCGCGCGAAGAGAAGAAAAATTTCTTTTTAATATAACACGAATTCCATTCTTCCCGCAACAATTTCGCGCCGCCAGAATGGACGCTCCGCGAAAAATTCGTTCTTTTATAGAATTCAATAAAAGATGAAAACGTCGCGGCAACTCGTATTTTTCGCTGACTCACACGAAAAAGCTCGCCGCAGAGATACATATTTGTATAATAGATTTCGTTCGAACTGCACTCTCGCTGCGATACTCACCGAGCTTGGTACATATTTCGGGAAACATATTACGTTCCGTGTTGCTCTTCTTTTCGATGTGATGAAGAATAAATAATACATATATTACCAAAACCTTTTGCACACAGCTCGACAAGAATAAACGCAAACGCGCGCGCGCGCGCGCGCGTAAGTACCGAATTCACTTGTCATGTGAAAATACGTTTCCCCGATTCACAGAGGGCTTTCAATTTTTTATCAATCCGCAGCGCGAAATTCAATTCGTAACAATATATATTTACTCCATACCGATTAGTTATTCTCTCTAAACAACGATTCACCGAACACGCGAAATGCCGTGCCCGGTTTAATTAAAATAAATGCCGCACACACACACACGTGTGCGTTCTGAGATTGGAAATTAAACTTGTATATTCGCGTTTTGTTGCGAAATTAAAATCGGGATTACGAAGCCTGACCACACACTGTGTACGCGCGTGCCCCCGCAATTAATATTAAATGATCGCGCGAAGTTTTGCAAATTTATATCGTGTTCATTTCGTACAGTGTGGAAGAACAACCAAATTAAATATAATACGCAGACCACATAATGTGTGTGCGCGCGCGTGTGTGTCGATCGTCCGTGCTTTTTAACCATTGAACGCTTCCATTGTGCGCGCTCTTTGCGCATGCAGCGAGCCGTGCGTTTCCTTTATGAATTTTTCCTCGCGCAACGGTTCCTCACAATGATGACGAATGTGTATCACCGAGTCAGCAGACAATGCGACACGCTCCCGTGGCCGGGCGTCCTCCTCTGTTCGTCTCGCGCACGCCAGACCAACATACATATATATATACCTCTCGTATCCGCGCGCGGATAATTCGCAATGCGGAGGAGCGTGTTCCGTGACGGAACACGTACGGTATATATCGGGCGTCTCTCGTGTCTAGACAACGTAAGAAGCTCCGAGAGCTCGCTCGCTCGCTCGCACGCACGCACAACCAGACTACTAGACTCTACTTTATTTCCCTAGCGGTAGTTTTCGCGACGAGATAATTAACGAGCCCGCAAGAGCAATCAACCGCGCGTTAACTCGATCCCCCCCCTCTCTTCGCGAACCGGCAGATTAGCATGTTAATTTTTAACGGGGCTTTTCGACGCGACCCGCGCCCACGCGACATTAGATTATAACGCGCCTCTCTTTCGGGAAGAGCGCGCGGGAAGAAAGAACATGCACATGTCAAACGAGAGTTTGAACAACGCAGAGACAAACGTTAATTTCATTTGGATTGAATTAATTCTTACGTGTACGTACTTTGCAAAGAATACTTAATTTTTTTTCGAATGCTCACACGGTTTTTACGCGAGGATAAATTTTTTTTTTTCGCTTCGGAGATTACGTTTTCATTTCCAAGAACGATCGTTTTCGAGCTTGCCCGAGATCGCCTCGTGTTCGTGACGAAGTGCATACGAAGGATGTAACCCTAATTGCACGTTCACGGCGAGGGTCGATCACGCAGGTTCGTCCAAGGATGTGAATTGATGTCGCGGCAAATGTGATGCACACCGAGAGACGGGCCCGTCGGTGTGCATCAACATCTTCCTCGCGAATCGGTGTAACGCACCTTGGCGAACGTTGCGCTCGCAGCGCTGCACTTAAGCGAGACATAATAGGCCTATCGCGAGCCACTTGTCTACCTCAGCGTCAGACCATTGCCCGCGGGCCGCGACGACCGACGTTAATAGACGCGTTTCCGGAACCATAAAGCGACCAAGAATACGCTCATACACACCACGATAGATTCGTATGATGAATAGGCAAACAGAGTGATGCGTCGCCGTCTAGGTTTGCCAACGTCTCATTTAAAGGTAATTGCCGTTCCCGGGTTTTAGTTTGACACAACGACGTCAAATTTCCCGCGGGAGATAAATCTCCGCCATGTTCCACACACGATAAAATTTTACACGTCGCTCGTTTGTTTGACTTTTCGCATACGAATGAATCGACTGCGAAATCCCGAATATTTTCACGAGAATAAATAAACAAACGCGTTTCACACGCGCGTCCGACGTTGTTTGCACTCGACGTTGTTTGTGTATGTGTGTATGTATGTTGTGTATGTGTACGGTTTCCAACACTATACATGTATCTGCATAATCGCGAACGCGATTTAACGATGCACGTGCGCTCGTGTTCTACACTCGCTCCTTCGTTTCGGTTGCGCGCGCGCGTGTAAATCATGCGCGCTAAGTCGAGGGAAAGAGAGAGAGAGAGAGAGAGAGCGAGAGAGAGAGCTACCCCCTTCGGAAGAGCATTTTTTTCCCCTCGAGACACAATCGACCGGTACCCGGTATCGAGCGACTCGCGTCGGGTATTGAATTCTCGAGTAGAGGAGGAGGATGCTGTGTGTGCCGGGCGCATCTCTCTCGAGTGTGTACATACGGAGAAGCACGCGTATGTGGCATATACTCCCCGGAGTCATACGGCCGGGGAGGAAGGCTTTCTCCGTCGACGCGACGGAGGTTCGGTATGTACCGGGTGAACAGATCGATAATGTGGTCCACGTAAACTAGGACGTTCTGTTCTCTGCCGCGCTCGCTCGCTCCCGCAGAGACACATCTCTCGTGCGGCGACGTACGGTATTATCCGGATATTAGCAAAATTTTCATACTTTGAATTTACACTAATACCGGGAGAGAAAAATCATTTTTTTTCTTCTTCTTTTTTTTTTTCGACAAAAGTCGTAGGTATTATACCTCGGCCACTCGGAAGAGAGGAACAAAAGAGCAGAGCAATTAGAAGTTCGAGCTTGGGTTTTTGTCCGACCCAACTTGTCAACTTTTGCAGTCGACTTTTTTTTTTTTTTGCTACAATGGGGATTTAATTTTTACTTATATTTGAGAAAATTTTGGTCGCTTATATCCGGACTAACGCTGTTAACTTTCATAATTTTAGTTTCTCTGCGCGTCTAACACACACGTGTGTTGAGAAACAGCTATGAACCTTCATCATGGATAACTTTCCAAGCTGGATTTATGGTTATCCCGCCTCGCATGGAATTATAATTAGTTGGGTCTCATGTATACGTGTGTGCGCGCGCGCGGTTGTACAAGTTAAACCATATACGCAACACTATTGTTTCGACATATAACGAGCGTTAAATTAATATTCCTGAAAAAGTTTTGTCATGATATTATCCTTGTATTACAGTTTCGTCAAGTCTCCTGAGTGTTTTTGCTGTGTGTTTCATCTACATGCGCGTCGGACAAGTTTCGCCGTGATCATGAGAAGCACCCTTTCTCTTTCTCTCTCTCTCTCCGCGGCGGAAAAAAAAAAAAAAGACTCGCCGACCGTAGTCAGGGTCAGACTTTCAATTAAAGCTTAAGTCGGATCTTAACGAGGCTTAAAAGAATCGGCGCGCGAGCGTATACACACGTGCTCGCACGCAGGTCGAAGACTTTAAGCCGCGTCGTTCTTCTCTCCCCGTTCGTTCGCGAGGGGATGAACTCTCGCTCGCTTTTAGGCTTCTGTTGCGACCGCAACGATAACTCGCGCGACATAACGTATCCGCATTACGCGCGGCGGTAATTTACAAATCGATCGTTTCTCACTAAAGATCCGCGCGATCTCGATACGGCGATAACGCGAGGGTATCCGCGATCAAGTATTTAACTCGTTTCGCCGCAATCGCCGCCCGATTCGCGCAACTGTATTCGTAACCGCAAAACACGACAGATTCGGTCGGCGGGAATTGCACTACTACTTTAATCGCCGCCGGCGACCTTTCAAGTGCGCGCAAACCACCTAATCGAAGGCACTGGGGTGACAGAACATACGGGTTTATTTATAACGTCAACTGCTATAACACGCGACGTATTGAGTGAGAGCGATTATTGATTTTAATACGCACGTTATAGCGTGAGATACGGTCCACGCCACACACGGACCATTCATCCAGAGGAGCTCGCTATTGTTTTTTAGCGTTCAACCTCATTAAGCACGATCGCGCTTAAGAGAAAAATACACCTTGTCTGTACGGCGTACCTTAAGAAATAATAATGAGACGCGCGTTTTCTTTTCCCAAGAAGGAGATTCTTCACCTGGACCTTTTTGCCGGAGTAAATCGAGTTCCTCAGCTTCCTTACGAATCATTACTATGTATCCTCTCTTTTTCTTTGTCGTTTTCACGGCTCGTCCCGATGTATTTACGGTAAATATCCTTTCGCCGCGGCTGACGGGGCCAATTTCCCAGCTTCCAATAAATTAGCCGGGCCGGCTCTCTCCGTGGGTCGGTGCCTCCGCGCCGCCTCGGAACGTCCAATTAGTTCGGGACGTCCGTCTCGTCTTTCTTCTCTCACAGTTGCGATGCTCGTAAAAATATTTACATCCGCCGATTCGCGCGCGCGCGCTCACGCAGGATGTGCGTGACAGTGCGCGGCGACGGACGCACGCGTGAACGCACGTCGACCGTGCGTGACCCTGCAAAGTCACCCCGCGAAGCACACAAAGCGCAATTTTATGCCGTAATTTTCATAGAGCCGTCGCAAAACGAGAAGGCGCTACATCGAGTGATCGATTG